CCCCAAAACCCCAAAACCCCAAAACCCCAAAACCCCGAAGAACAAAGTAAGTATTGAGTTATGATTAATTATTTAACACATCTCTTTGAGGTCCTTCTGCCTATGTCATCTTAGAAGCCTGTTCTGCCTTTTCAAGCTCTTTAAGCCACTCTTCTTCAGTCATATTCTTACCGCGTTCCTCCATCTTCTTGATTTCTTCTGGGCTGAAATAGGTTTCGAACTCAATCTGATTAAACTTAGCTTTAGCATATCTGCTGTGCCTCAAGGGTGCGTTATATTTCTGGATGAAGAATTGGAAGGTTGCGAAATCAATGAAATCATGTGTGATGCTCACTCATGACCTAAACGTTATCCTCATGTGACATACTTGGTAAAAGGAACCACTGAAGTGATGTTCTTGTGTAGGTTAAAGGCCTTTTGCTGATCTCTATGACTCAGATTCAGTTCTTTGCTAATAGAATCATTTTTGGAATGCCTATTGTTCTGACCAATTAAGTTAATTTTGTTCATTTTACAGTATTCTGCCATGGAGACTACATCAATGTTTTTGAAGAACTCATCATCGTAGTAGGACATATCTGGACTTCCCTTCTTGAGCTTTATATATCTAGTTATGAGTGGGTGATGCTCATCTTTAGACAACCGGGTGACAACATATCTGAATCCATGATTCTTACCACCGACAGCTTCAGCAAGGGCAGTGACTTCCTGGAGATCCAGGATCAGCTCTGCCTTGGCGATCTTATTAATTCCTTCAGTAATGTTTGGATATTTCTGTTTCAGATGTTCCATGCCTTGTTCTGTAATTTGTGGAGTTGCCCCTTGCCTGCATGTCATGCCATAGGACCTGAGCTTGCCAGCAAGGATCATCTCTTCGTAGAACTCGAAGGCCTTTTGGACTCTGTAGGATGTCTCTTTCTTATTATGCTCACAAGCAATATTTTCGAGGGGGTAATGGAGCAGGTTTACATCCATAGTTGAGACCATCATGTTTTGAAGAGTATTTTCAAGCTGAATTTTGAGGTAAGCTGGGTGGATACAGTAGTTGCTCATGGAGACAACATCTGTGTAGTGCATTTGTCTGTTGGAGATTAGGTTTTCAATAGTGAGGAGGGATGGAGTGTTGGAGATATCATCTTCATACAATTTTCCACTTTCTACACATGACTTAAACCCTACTTACCAGTAATAAGCATGAACTCTTCTCTCGAATACCCATATTTCTTGATCAAAGTGTCAATCACTCTTCCAAGGATCCTCTCACTTCGGCCATTTCTACAGTGATTCGAGGTTTTGAAGGTATTTCAGACGCCTTTTTGGGCAGCCAATTTCAACATTGCGTAGAGGGTGAAGTCTCCATAGTGACTCTTGTCCACTCCTGATGTATCTATTGAGAGCAGGGACAGAGATTGTCCATCCACTGTTTTACGGAAGTTTTCAGGCCGAATTTTAACTGTCCGATCTTTGTAAAATTTCGTACCCCTCGCAGTTCATTTTCCTTTGTTAGCTATTTTGGTCAAGTAGAACTTCTTTGAAGTATCATCAAGAGTTTCTTCATACACTTTAATATTCTCAAGGAAAGATTCTATAGAGGGTCAAGGATGCAATACCTCCAGCATTTGGATTATTAGGGTTGTTTTTCATAAGCTGCTTGTTGTGGAGTAGGAATGGCACTCCAGTAGCTTCAACCTCTTCAAACTCCTGCTTACTAATGAGCATACTCTCGTTTATCTTAAGCTCCTGCTGAATGGATTTCATTGGATTAAATGTTCTCTTGTACCTCATTGGGTTCTGAATGAGGAGCCTAGAGAGTAAAAGAATGTAAATACCTTTTTCAGGCTCCATTTTGAGTGACACGGGATAAAATCATTTAAAATAATATTAATTTCAACCGTAAAGGCAAATTTAGGGGTTTTGGGGTTTTGGGGTTTTGGGGTTTTGGGG